TGCTACAGGAGCCATTGGAATTGAAGAAGCTAAAATTGGAAAGACTAAGATTCCCTTTTATAATAATAATAATAATAATAATAATAATAATAATAATCAATAATAATAATAATAATAATAATAATAATAATAATAATAATAATAATAATAATAATAATAATAATAATAATAATAATAATAATAATAAGATGAAGAAGAAGAAGGAAGAGTTATAATTAGTAATTAATAATGACCCAGCAGAAAGAGGAGTAATACTTATTAATTAATTGCATTATCATTATAAAAAATTTAATAATAATTTTGTTAATAATTATTACTCTTCCTTCTGCTTGGTCATGAAGGAAGCCGGCCTCGGGCGAAGGGCTGTGACGATATCTATCTGGAACCCGTAGGTGCGGGGCTTGGTCGTCCACCTCCTGGGGGTCGTGCGGTCCAGGGGCCAGATTCACGAAAGCACATACGAACCTGTATCTCTTTTCTCAATCTTTGTCGGCTTTGTTTCCAATTGTTAAACTGTTAATGAGCTTCGAAGCACCAGGAGGATGTTTATAGCAATAACAATAGTTGAATGGGAAGCTTTCATACTAGTAAACTGTTTAATAAATGTAACCAAAGCCGTCAAAGATTGAGGAAATACGCTCTCACGCTCTCAGCCTACCTGAGAGACGCTCTCAGCCTACCTGAGAGCGTCCCTGTAAATACGCATAACTTTAAATGCGTCTCTCCGCTCTATTGAGGTCACAGTAAGTTCCGGTTTTTGCTTAAACTTAGTGACTATAAAAACCCTTGGTCTAATGCAGTTTTTATATCCTTTTATATATTATGGTTTATATAATCCATGCATGTGTTATGACAAAGAACCTTTGTAAATCATGTGATTGACAAATTTTGCTCGTAACTAGATATTTTGGATAAATCTTACGTTGGACACATAACACTTTTAAATCTGTGCTTATGACAGTACTCTTGTACATCTTGCGTGTGGCACAGGACATTTAAGTCTTGCCTTTACGTATCAAGGCACAGGAAATGTACATCTTGCGTGTGGCATAGGACATGTAAATCTTGCGTGTAACACAGTACTTGTAAATCTTGCTTGTGTTACAGGACTCCACAAGCCTACAATGTCATTCACCTGACTGGCATGTAATCAACACATGCCTTTCATAAATCATGTGAAAATATTTAATTTTGTATATGGAATTGCCAGTATGGAAGTTACATTAATTAAAATGTCAGAGAACCATGCATCATAGAGTTGAGTAATACTATTTCATTGACGTTGGATTTACAGTAGCTGAGGTCAATAACCTAGATGTATAGCCCAGATGTATTTGCCTCATATGGGCTAATAGGCCTTCTGAAGTTAGTCTTCTTCTTGAAGAGTACGTACTCTTCATACACGTACACGTACTCTTTTTCTTGAAGAGTAACTTCTGTAACTTTGGAAGTTTCTTTATTCTTATGTGTGTGTAAATCACGAAAAATAATTATTATGTTCATATAAATAAGAGCTGCCTCGTATGGGCCAATAGGCCTACTGCAGTTCCATTTATTCTTATATTCTTATGTTTCTGAACAGAATATACAAATAACATATGGGCAGGACTCAGGTGGGAGTTTGCAAATGGGAATATGATCATTATATACAAGATACTCGGGATAATATGGTGAACAAAGACAGACTCTTGTAAAATGAGGGAATAAAGGATAAGAAGGAAATGAAGGAAATTTCCTCTACCTCATAGGAAACGGAAATGAGGTAAAGGAAATGAAATACTCGTACCCTGTAGGGTTTGTCAGCAAGTGGAATGAACTGAATAAAGAAGTCATTGAGATTACCATCATCTATAATTTCCAGGCCAAATGTAAACAAAAAATATATCGAACGTCAGGAAAATAAAAAACCTTTAGGTACTCCAAGCTAGGCTAGTCGGCGAGCTCAAATAGAAAACGAGAGAGCCGCAATAGTTCGCCACTGAAGGGATGACTTAAGACGCAGTGACCTCTGGTGATTAGATGTTGTATCAAGCGTCTCCCTTATAAATTAGTACTCGTATATGTCGATGAAGAACAGAAAAGTTTCCATATGATAAATCGCTTTGTGTCAACGGATGTTGCAATTGATCTGTTTAATCAATGTCTTGGCGGTACAGTAGACGGCAAAACAACAACAATTCACAGAGAAATTAGATGACATGGATTCACCAACAGGAGTAACAATCAGAGGACTGCATATGGGTTGTCCGAGGCAGATAGTTTAAATGACTGAGTGGACGCGCGTTATTTTTCTGTTCAGTGATATGGTCAGACATATGCGACTGACCTCGAGATACCTGGCCAGCTGTCAAGGTAAGTGTTAATACGTCTTAATTGTCATTGTCCAAATGGGCAATGTCCTAACATATTTGGGGACTCATTAATTGTTCGTGATCTGATATTTTTTATTCGGCGGGAGCCGAGAAAACAATCTGGGCCTGAAATCACGAAGCAGTTTCAGAAGCACTTACGAACCTGTCCATCATTTCTGAATCTTTGACGGCTTTGTTTACAATTATTAAACAGTTAATGAGCTCGAAAGGACCAGGAGGCTGTTTATAGCAGTAACAACAGTTGAATGGGAAGTTTTCATGCTTGTAAACTGTTTATTGAATATAACCAAAGCCGTCAAAGAGTGAGGAAAGATGTACACGTTCGTAAGTACCTGCGTAACTGCTTCGCGAATGTGGCCCCTGGACTTTTCGGTGAGCGATACATATAAGTCATATAATTCAGCCTTCTTATAAATCTTGTAAATTTTCGTCGGACGGATCGTAGTTTTATAGTTTAATACTACCCAAGAGATTACATGTGTGGAAGTAATTTGGTATTACTTGTTTAGAAAATGAGACTGGAACTTCTGTCCTCAAAAGAGTTTGTTTAGTATAAGTCGATATATATTTATTTTTTAGATATATAACAATGTTTGTGTTTGGGGTTATCATCAATGTGTGTGTGTGTGTGTGTGTGTGTGTGTGTGTGTGTGGGAGGGGATCGTCAATTATGTGTGTGAGAGGGGGGGGTCATCATCAATGTGTGATGTCGTCATCAATGGGTGTGTGTCTGTGGGAGGGGGTCGTCATCAATGTGTGTGTGAGGAGGGGGGGGGTGGTCGTCATCAATGTGTGTGAGGAGGGGGTCGTCAGCAATGTGTGTGTGCGGGGGAGGTGGGGAGGGGTTACTAGTCCAGTTCATAAGTTCTATTCAGTTGTGTATTTGTAAACTAAAGTCTTTGAAAATGTAATAAGTTTTACGAAACGCGCTCGTGTCGCGTCAGACTAGAAATAGAAATGAATTTTGGAGAATTGATTTTTGAATTACCTCCAACAGTGAAAAGAAATGTACGAAAGATTGAGAAAATTCGTGTTAGAATTATTAATCTTACTTTTTCGGTCATATTTAATAATATATATATATATATATATATATATATATATATATATATATATATATATATATATATATTCTAGGGTGTGAGTTTTCAGTTGCATATAGTCCTGGGGACCATTCAGGCTTGTTCGCATATATGTTCGCATATGCGGGTACATATACATATATATATATATATATATATATATATATATATATATATATATATATATATATATATATATATATATATATATATATATATATATATATATATATATCTTACGTAATGTGATGAAGAAACCCTCGCTGCTAATACAATGGTCAGAGATCGTAGAAAAACTGTGCCGCTCAAGACTTTAAACAATAGAACGAGAGTGACCAATTCACGTTATGATCCGTGCCGTGCTGTTCCGGGCTCTTCTGGAGGCCCGTGACATGACTGTGCTGCAGTCATGACAGGGTGGACCGACCTCTTGCACAGAGAAAACCCCACAAAATAGTTTTTATGTGGATCTCGACAAATGTTCTTTGAAAACTCTTATTAGCGATAAACTCTGACTATATCATTATTATATGATTGCTACCAGTCACTGGAAGAGTGACTGAATGACTGGTCAATCGCTGGCCGAATGACTGGTCAATCGCTAGCTGAATGACTGGTCAATCGCTAGCTGAAAAACTGGTCAGTCACTTCATAAATGTCTGGTCAATCGCTGACTGAATGAGTGATCAGTCGCTAGCTGAATGACTGTTCAGTCGCTGGTTGAATCGTTATGATTGTTTAGTCATTCTTAGTTCTTTTAGGTTATATGGTAAAGGAGATACACTTAGCGGAAAAATTTTTAATAATATTTTCATTATAGATTATTTATCCGTTGATTTTAGTAGAATAATTACGTACTACATACAGTGTTGCAGCTGTGAGGAAAAAATCACTGTGACAGGAATATTACTTGTGTATTGTCAATATTCGTCGTTATTTTAACGCGTTGCCAGTGAAACAATAGGAGACTTTTATGTAAGTTTATTTTTGCAGGAAAGTTACCTTTCTGAACAGGAATCAGAATAAATCCTCCCGCTGAAAATGTATTGCTATCCAACAAAAATAATCCTGCAAGTTAGTCAACACCGGAACTGTGATGAAGTTCGTTTCATTTCTGTCAATTATTTTCATCTTAGTACTAGTGCCATAAAATGTTTCCTAATTTATTCTATATAAACAAAACGACACTGTACGCTGATTGATCAGAAGTTTAATCTCTCGAGGAAATTTAACACGGTCTTATTATCGCCAATTAAAATCTTACAAATAATTAAGTAAACTAAAACTGCCTATAAACATCATTGCAGTAGTAATCGTTGCATTTAGTGAGAATTAAAAATAAATTAGAGGTAATTATTTAAATTAACTTTTCAGCTCATAGATTAAGATTTGTTACCAATGCATGGATTATAATATTGGTGATTCGCTGTATAATTAATTTAAAATCAACATTTTCACGACAGCGCTGCAAGCATATTTCTGAACATTTCCATCGAAAATCTTGTTAGAAACTAATAATAAATGTAAGGTAAAATAACACAGTTGGCACTTTTCATTCATTAGAATCTTGTAGGAAGTTTATTGTGTATAATTAACCATGTAGGAATTATTTTTTTTAGCTCTGAAGAACTGAACATAATAGGTCAATGATAGGTAGTGATTATTGTAGCTCATAAATAGCTCTCCAGCGCGGAGCTCACAGATGGCAGGAAGTGCGGTGCTGTTCAGCCATAGTGGCCCCCGCGGCGGCGCTCACAGACGATGGCCTTCTCGTGGTGGCAGGCGACGTCGTGCCATCTGATGCCGTCTTTATAGAAGTTGTTGAGCACTGCCAGACAGAACTCCTTCCCGTTCTCACGGTTGTCAGGCTGGGGACGTCCCTCACTGGCAACAGAAGAGAAGTGTATGTGGTCAAATATACTTACAATATATATATATTAGATTTTCTTTGATTTTTCCAGTCAGTTCAATGCATGAATTAAATACCTTCAAAGTCTTATAGAACTTTTGGTGTTACTGAACTCTTGTAGTTTTCAACCGTAAATGAATAAAACTTTATCAATTCGTGTACAATGTAGATGCAGTAATATAAAGTTTCTCAGCCAGTGTGGAACAAACCAGTATGAACTAAACGACAAGTGCAGCACTCACCCTCCGGTGTGAGACCAGTTGAGGCCGTAGAATGGGTAGCCAGAGGGCCAGGCGAAGTCGTAGCCGCTACGGTAACCTCCCGTCCAGATGTACTCCAGCTTGTCTGGAGGAGGGACGCAAATAATTATGCTCATAACTGTTAACAATCCAACGTGAGAGACGCAGGCGACAATAACAGAAGCACAACAAACAACTGAGATCATTACTTTATGCTCGTCTCTAAACAGTGTGAATAAATACAAAGATTTCATGCTACAGATTTCATGATACAAATGATAATCAGTTTATTTTATTCGAAGGTTTTATAATTGGTAACTGAGTTATATAAGATGAACTGGGTAAAGGAAAATGCATGGTAATATTGGAGAAACAAGTAAACGTTCCTGACCTTGGTAGATGACGTTTGAGATGATTTTGTCCTCTTCATGACTCTCGATGCTGACACCCTGCCATCCCTTGCCAAGACTGGAGCAGTAATAGTTGGCACTGTGCCAGTCGTACTTCTTGCCTCCATCGTGACGCCACGAGAAGTGGTAGTCGCTTCCACCAGCGCTCAGATCAACCTGCAATATTGCAATAGTCGGCTCAAAATTAAAAGGAAACTAATACTCATCTTTATGTAATTTACTGCCTTAGACATACGGATTATTAAAGTATTTTCTCATATGTATCCAATCTGCTGAATTCGTCAATGATTATTTTTCAGCTATTCATTATATAATTACTTTCTTAACTACCATTTTTTTAAACACTCACCAGTTTGTAGCCCCCACCACCACCACCACCACCACTATAGCCTCCGAGATGGGCACCACCACCTCCACTATAGCCGCCACCATGGACGCCGCCGCCTCCACCAAAGCCGCCACCATGAGCGAAACCTCCGCCAAATCCAGCTCCACCACGTCCGCCGGCGTAGGGGCCCAAATACTCGGCCGTCGCCACAACAGCAACACTGAGAATCAACACAGCTTTCATCTGCAACACAGAGGTGTGCAATTACTTCTCGGCACGTGAGGAGGGCGTGTAGAATAAAGAGCTACATATTACATTGAGGAAATCAGTATGGATTCGAACAAATGCTATATTGCTGTAGCTGATATCTTGAGGTTATCTTGAGATGATTTTGGGGAATAGCTTTCCCGCGGGCAGGTCCTCGACTAGGCCTCCATTTTGTTACCCTCCCCCCCCCCCCCCCCCCGCAAGGAAGCAGTCCGGAGCAGCTGTCTAACTCCCAGGTACCTAATTATTGCTAGATGAACAGCTGCATCATAGCGAAAGAAACTCTGCCCATTTGTTTCCGCCTCCACCGGGGATCGAACCCGGAAAGTCACGACTACGAATCCGAAGCGCTTTCCATTCAGTTGTCAAACCCTCACTACAGTAATTACGCACTCACGGGTAATAAATCTTAGTATCACCTTGCCTTGTAGGTCCTTCGTTCACTCAAAAGCAAAATTCCACGTAACAAAGTTTCATTTGTCTGGGAAACATGTCCTCAGCTGCAGGAACAACACTCACGCGGTACCACAATCCTTTAGAGTATCAGAAGAACATTATCCTGTGCACTAGAACACTCGGCCTCCCAGAACACTCGCTCACTACGACTATCTCACATACACCAGGAGACTTTATCATGGCTACCAGAACACCTCGATAACCACAGTGTAAGACGTCCATCAGGAAAAGCCAACACCTACCGTGAGCAGCCAGGGAGTGTATTCATCGGCAGGTCTCCCCGCCTTATATACCTCGCCGTCATTGTACCTTCAGGGTCATCGTCAGCGCTTCCTCCGCATTAGAAATATATCAGAGCTGAAGCGTCACCTCCACAAACCACTGGGTACTCCTCTTTCAAGCCTGGCAAAAACCTATCCAGAGACATTGCAGTAGCCAGCTTTGTATTAGTAGTATTGAACAAGGAGTAGTAGCGCAGCATAATAGCGTGTAGTAACTGAGCGTAGTAGTAGCTTACTAGCGTAGTAGTAGCGTGTTGAACGAGACTGTTCAATACGCTTTAACTGCACATAAGGGGCATAACTGCCCGATCCCTCAGAGTGTTCAGGAGATAATTTGATAAGCACCTCCTAAGGATACCTGATCAACCAGGCTGTGACTCATACGTCAGGCTGCGTTCAGCTGCATCCAACATCCTGTTTGACCAGTTCAACAACGAGGAGGCCTTGTCGAGGACCCGACCGCGGGGACGCAAAGCCCAGAAACTATCTCAAGGTAACATCAAGGTAGCCATACACAGACTCTGACTTGGTTACAAGTGCTGCTGGGAGGTAATAAGTCGAAAACTGTAGGAGTGTCATATCTGTGGAACAGATGTCACGGTTACATTACATATTGTAATGGGAAGCCACTGAAGCCCTGCGCATCAAACTCAACATTCAGCCAATAAAAGCAACTTCATTAAATGCAAAATCCACAGCGACTACAATGTTTAAAAAAGAAGTTGAAAAATGGGACAAACTAGTGAACATTGTGCATTTATATCCGCCACCAAGATAACGTTATTTAAACCAAAGATTAAATCAGTGTGAAAAAAAGAAAACTCTACATTCATTAAAAACTTTGACCCAGATATCATAGTAACAAGGTTATCGTGAATAACCGAACTCAATTACGGATTCACTATAGCCCGTGCTACATGAACATTTTGTTCAGAGTAGCTGAATCAAAAACAACAACACCAGCAACGTCACCTCCAAGAGAACATCCCATAGCGACACGGAAGAATATTGACAGCCGGGTAATGAATGATGATTAATTAATTCGAATAATTTTATTTTGCTTTATGCGTCTAAATTTCATACAATGACGATCGTTCACCCTGTTGTGGATACTTGAGTAATGTAATGATGGTCGTTCCTTTCCTTGTGAGATACTTGAGTCCATGAGTTTTTTATGGAGCGTTTATAAGGAAAAGACTGATTTTATCATTTATTTATATCAGTCAGCAATTAAAGTGTGTTACTCTTTAAGCAACTTTTAAATTAATTGCAAAATTCATCAAGTACCTTTTTGTTCACCAGAACACAGAGTAACGAGAACTAATTATTTGAAATAAAGGACAAACAAAGCGAGTGAGAACAAAAGCTGACCACGTCTCACGGTCAAACGTTATAACAAAGTGTTTGTGACGCAAGACATTTGGGGAGTCTGAGGCTCCTTTTTTCACCCGATGTTTGTAACACTAAGGACGAGGGATACTTAGCCCTTCTGTCACACGGTGACTCCAGACTGGTGGGGCACCGTTGCTCCTGTCATATGGCACTGGCGACCCAAGACAGGTGGGTCCCCACATGATGTCAGGCAGACCTGGCGAGGCGAAGTCAGGTCCAACCCTGGCATATATCCTGTTGATGCTTTTAACTCGTTGAACTCGTGGATGTCACAAAACGTTATCAGTACAGATACATAATTGTGTGATTTTATCGACAAAATAGAGCTTTTTTAATTTAAAAAAATATGTAAAATGTATTTGATTTGTGTGTAAAACTAAAAAATAGTGGGCGAGAGCTTCAAAGAGTCTTCATTAAACAGTCTAGTTACCCTGAAGAAGAAACGTCTCCGTAAACGGAGACGTTCCTTCTTCAGGGTAACTTCTGTTTCCTTCTGTTTTAAATCATGATTTTGTGACTTTTTGCAAACTTATGATACTGAGAATTGTTAGTTCAGATTAAATATTGTAAACTAAGACATTTAAAAAATGAGCACCTTAATTTTTTGTTAAATTTGGAAACACTTTCATAGTAGATCCAGCTTCATCAGTTTGTCACTGACATATATAAACATAATAGGGTACTGGTACTGATCTTTGGGGTACGCCAGTTAACATTATCTTCATATCCATCTCTCAAATCACATTGCTATGTTTTTCTTCCTGTTAGAAAGGTATTATGTAACTCAGATCAACCGACATCTAGTTATTCAAGTACGCAAAGAAATCACAATAGCATGATAACTCAAAAAAACAAAAATTGTCTCACGTCAGTGTGATCTTTGTGTTCTAAAGGAACACAAAGTGGAGCGTACAGTGGAGACACCATTACTCACAGGCCATAGTGTAGGCGGGCTATTCGTAAAACCAGGTTATGGCACCAGTTGGGGCCTTCTAGGCTCCCCATAGTGGATTTGGTAGAGTTCTGGGTAAATATTTTTTGACCTATCGTGGCCGAGTTGGTTAAAGCAGGTGTCTGAAAGTCAAAAGAACGCTGGTACAAATCCTCGCATTGCTCCAAAGGATTTTCTCAGTTATTCAGGTGTTTTTTTTACGTTTATGTCGAAGGCTGTCTAGCTACCGAGAAGATGGATTCGGTCAATTCTTACCTTCCGTGTGTTACCATTGCGACCGTGTCAGCAAACTGTGCCATGTTTGTGTGACTAGACTTTCCTTCTATCACTTTATGTTGAACCTTTTACTAAATTTATCTGTTGTATCACTAGCTTGCAGATTAATTTACGTAGGACCTTTCTGAATATACTTGTCATCAATGCAAAACTATAGCTTCATATTGTCGGCTGTCAAAAGGTACGGACTCCGCTCTTTTTTTCCTTCTTAATTTTTTTTAAACACGCACACATCCCAAGGATGCCGCCCGCAGTAGATGTCTGAATACCACCAGTTGCCAATATACTGGTAGGTAAACAGTGGCATCAGGTTACATGAAATGGTGTCCAAAAAGTTTATGTCCCTACCAGGAATTAAAACCCGGATTCTCAACTGTGTGTTGAGTTTTTTCACAACTAAACCATAGGCTCTTATGAGTGTGTTATTACCGAAGTGCAATTATCTAAGTGTAGTTACAGGATGAGAGCTACGCTAGAAGCAACAACGTACTGGAGTGCAAAATAACAACGTACTAGAGTGAACGATATGGAAGTAAATGCAGGATACAACTAATGAAGAGCAGAGGTGCCATAGGCACAATCAGAGAACACAGAATAAACATCAGAGGTCCACGGTTGTTCAACGTCCTCCCAGCGACTACAAGAAATATTGCCGGAACAACCGTAGACATCTTCAAGAAAAAACTAGTCTGTTTTCTAAAAGATGTTCTGGACCAACCAGGCTGTATTGAGTATGTGGGCCTGCGGGCCGCTCCAAGCAATAGCCTGGTGGACCAAACTCTCATAAGTGAAGCCTGGCCTTGGGCCGGGCTTGGGGAGTGGAAGAACTCCCAGGACCCCATCAAGCAGATATCAAGCAGATGCTCGTGGTGTCCCGTCTTCCCAGCACTCATTGTTATATAAGATAAAATCAATTTGAGCCAATGGAGGGACTTGAACTCGCGTTATGATGATTCCCAGACTTGTCTTAACCGACTCGACCATGATGGTACACACAATGATGGTGTGTGTGTGTGTGTATTTGTGTGTGTTTGCGTTTGCACAAAATTTGCTCATAAACCAATGAGGAAAATTAATAGCAAGATAAAATATACATCTCTTTTTTATTATAATCTAAAAGGAAATAAGTTTTGCATTCATGAGTTTATAAGAAATAGTTTACTGTTCTGAAAAAAACATTATCGGTCGACGTCAGCAAGATGGCAGGAAGTGCGGTGCTTTTCAGCCATAGTGGCCCCCGCGGCGGCGCTCACAGACGATGGCCTTCTCGTGGTGGCAGGCGACGTCGTGCCATCTGATGCCATCTTTATAGAAGTTGTTGAGCACTGCCAGGCAGAACTCCTTCCCATTCTCACGGTTGTCAGGCTGGGGACGTCCCTCACTGGCAACGGAAGAGAAGTTTATGTGGTCAAATTCACTTACAAAATGGATATTAGATATTCTTATATATATTTTAGTCAGTTCAAGCATGAATGAATTACCTTCAAAGTATTATTGAACTTTTGGTGTTATTTAACTTCTGTAGTTTTCATGCATAAATGAATAAATCATTTTCAATACGTGTACAATGTAGATGCAGTAATATAAAGTTTCTCAAGCCAGTGTGGAACAAACCAGTATGAACTAAACGACAAGTGCAGCACTCACCCTCCGGTGTGAGACCAGTTGAGGCCGTAGAATGGGTAGCCAGAGGGCCAGGCGAAGTCGTAGCCGCTACGGTAACCTCCCGTCCAGATGTACTCCAGCTTGTCTGGAGGAGGGACGCAAATAATTATGCTCATAACTGTTAACAATCCAACATGAGAGACGCAGGCGACAATAACAGAAGCACAACAAACAAATGGGTTCATTACTTTATGCTCGTCTCTAAACAGTGTGAATAAATACAAAGATTTCATGCTACAAATGATAATTAGTTTATTTTATTCGAAGGTTTTATAATTGGTAACTGAGTTATATAAGATGAACTGGGTAAAGGAAAATGCATGGTAATATTGGAGAAACAAGTAAACGTTCCTGACCTTGGTAGATGACGTTTGAGATGATTTTGTCCTCTTCATGACTCTCGATGCTGACACCCTGCCATCCCTTGCCAAGACTGGAGCAGTAATAGTTGGCACTGTGCCAGTCGTACTTCTTGCCTCCATCGTGACGCCACGAGAAGTGGTAGTCGCTTCCACCAGCACTCAGATCAACCTGCAATATTGCAACAGTCGGCTCAAAATTAAAAAGAAACTAATACTTATCTTGATATAGTTTACTGCCTTAGACATACGGATTATTAAAGTATATTCTCATATGTATCCAATGAACTTAATTCGCCAAGGACTCCTTTCAACTATTCATTATATAATTACTTTCGTAACTACCATATTTTATGGTAGTTAAGAACTCACCAGTTTGTAGCCCCCACCACCACTATAGCCGCCACCATGGACGCCGCCGCCTCCACCAAAGCCGCCACCATGAGCGAAACCTCCGCCAAATCCAGCTCCACCACGTCCGCCGGCGTAGGGGCCCAAATACTCGGCCGTTGCCACAGCAGCAACACTGAGAATCAACACAGCCTTCATCTGCAACACAGAGGTGTGCAATTACTTCTCGGCACGTGAGGAGGGCTTGTAGACCACGTAGCTACATATTACAGTGTTGTGTTTTAGGGGACATGTCATTATAATTACCCCAACACATTTCTCAACATTCACTTTACCAAGTCCTCCATTGGTCATTCACATGTGAAATTCCCCGGAATGAAGTAGCGCTAATGTGGTGAACAATACCATAGTTACAAGAGCAACACTGTCACACGCATCCAAACATTGTCACGCATAATAAAACCCATTCACGAATACCAGTAAAATACTCACGTCCTTCATAACATTAAAAGTTCCACACAGAACACACACCCTCATCAAAGTGCTGCCACGCTCACCAGAATAAGATCAAGACCACCAGAACATTATCACACTCACTATCATGCCCAACAAAAGAACTCTTTCAGGCCCATCAGGAGAACGCTCTGACGAGCACCAAGAGAATGTACTCGTTACATGAACACTCCACGCTCTTCAGAACATTCTAACACCTCACCAATGAAACTCCCTCACCCATCAGGAAAAGCCAACACCTACCGTGAGCCGCCAGGGAGTGTAGCCACCGCCAGGTCTCGCCCCCTTATATATCTCGCTGTCATTGTGCCATCAGGGTCACCGTCAGCGCCTCCAGAGAGCTGAAGCGTTACCTTCATGATTATGTTACCAGTGCGACCCGAAAGATTATTTGACTGGTTATTAGTGAACGTTGGCTCGTAAATTCAATTATTTTTACTCAACTTACATGTTTTCCAATGAGGTTTCTGTAGCCTTCCGGTGTGTGTACGTGGGTGTGTGTTCGTGAGTTTTTAAGGTGTTTTTAATAATGGATGGTAGTTTTATGTTATGTTTTGTAATTAAGCTTAGAAAACATCTAAATTCGACTAGAATAATTAGTTGAGTTCATATTATGTTCATCAGTGTGGAGCCTAACTAGGATAAGTTAATCGTCAACGAGATAAAACAAAGAGTGAGAACAGACGCTGACCATAACTCATGGCCAGCTTTATCACAAGTTATTAGTGACGCCAGACTGGTGAGGTTCCAAGGATCCTCTCTTATAGGGTGCTTACCTATCAGTGTTTATCTATCGGTGACGACGTGGAAGTAAAGTCTAGCTCATTATACACCGCCCTAGCCTTGTTGTACCTGTTGCGTTATTGTTTAACTATTCTAATGTTCAAATTCTTGGTCGAGTCTGGCCTTAAAGTTGTGGATGGAGTGACCTCCACTTGTTGACCTCCCGATCACGGTATGAGCATTTCCGTAAATTTCTTTGACTCATTTGGATATCCAGCTTCCACCTGTGTCGTTTTGTCCTACTCTCTCTTAATATAAAGATTTGTCTTGTCCAACTTTGTCTAGTCACCTCAGTTCCTTGTATTTTTTTTCATTATATCTCTATTTCTACTGTCCGCCACTTCCTTCAATCTATTCTCATAGATTGACCCTATTAGCTCTGACACTTATCTTGTTGCAAACCATTGATTTTTTCGATTATAGTTTTATTCCTCACAAGCTATGGATTCCAGGCTGTTGTTGCATATTCCATTCTAACAGAAGCTGTGTAGGTTGTCTCGAAAAAGTCCTGATTTCGGTTTCTTAACAGCGTTCTAATCTTTGTCACCATCCCATATGCTGCCTATATCACCCCGCCAATGTGTGCTTCTGATGTTAGCGTTAGAATTATATCTACTCCAAAAATCACTTTCTCTCTCCGATTCCTGAAGCAAGATTCTTTTTCTTGTCTTCTATTTATGGTGTAGAAACCTTCTGGTATTCTTTTTCCCTTCATCGTCTTCATTACCTTACACTTATTGGAAATGAACTCCAGCAACAATTTGTTGTGAGTTTGTCAAAGTACTTCCTGAAACTTTCTATATTCTTTCTCGGTTCGTATATTCCTCATTAGCTTTGCATCGTCTTTATACATTGACAAATATACGAGCTCACTCCTTCAAGTAGATCATTCACGTAAATTAGGAACAGTAGCGTTCCAAAGACTGGGCCTTGGGGGATCCCACTTGCTTACATTCCTTCAACTCGAGTCTTCTCCTCTGATTATAATACTTTGTCTTCTGTCCTTCAGATACTCCCTTACATAGTTCAGTGCCTTCCCAATTATCTCATCTTGCTTCTCCATTCTGTGCACCTCTTTCGTGAGGAACAGTGTCTAGTGTTTTTTGGCAATGGCAAATGTAATCTACCCAGTTATCGTTTTCGAGTCGTATTTTAGTAACCTTGTCATCTAACTTGATGACGTTTGTCAGGCGCGACTTTTCCCTTCTAAATCCATGTTGGGCTTTTGTTACAAAGTTTATCCTCTCAAGGTGCTCCATTAATCGCATCCTGATTACTCTCTCCCGCGCTTTACAGACAATACCTCTCAGAGACCGGAGGAGCTTTGGGGAACCTCAGTCATGGGTGAAAAGAGTGACAGAAGGCAGGAGGGGCTCCAGGAACCTGTCATGGGTGGGGGTGGTATTGGGCAAGTGGGATTCTGAGACCCCCTCTGTCATAGATTATACAAGATATAAACATGCATAAGTGCCTAATGCTTTTCCTGTACATTTTCTTAGCGATCACAACCAGAATTATAGTACAGTCCACTACAATAATATCAGGAAAATTATTATATATATGTGTGCCGAGCTTTTAGAAGTAGTGAATCATTGCTGACAATGACCACGTATTTGCTAAGCATTTTCTTTTGTCGCGGAGAAATCAGTCAAATAAAACCAGGAGAGGAGGGAAGGTGCGACATGGTCAGCGACACGTACACCCTGGACGGAATATGGCACCTCGGCGACCGTGTCATATGGCACCTCGGCGACCGTGTCATATGGCACTTCGGCGACCGTGTCATATGGCACCTTAGCGACCGTGTCATATGGCACCTAAGCGACCGTGTCATATGGCACTTCAGCGACCATGTCATATGGCACCTCGGCGACCGTGTCATATGGCACCTCAGCGACCGTGTCATATGGCACCTCAGCGACCGTGTCATATGGCACTTCAGCGACCGTGTCATATGGCACTTCAGCGACCGTGTCATATGGCACCTCAGTGACCGTGTCATATGCACTGTGACAAATACAGTCACTGTAATTTGTAATTTTCTAATTGTCACAATTATTTATGGGTAATTAAATTATGGTTGTAGAACTATTACCACAATCATTCATAGGTAATAACAGATGTAGTTGCTGAACCGTAAATAACAAATAACACATTCAATATGGTATATTGAATACGTGATATGACACTTCAGACGATTCTGCAATTATATTATTATTCAACATTTAATTATGAATCTCGATGGGGTCTCGGTAGTACAGTTGGGTTCGCTCTCGAGACACATTTTGGATATCACATTTCGAATCCAGCACAGGATAATAATCAGTGTGCACGTTTCCTTTCACCTAATGCAACAGTTCATCTAGTATTTGTGGCAGTAAATAGGAGTTACGCAACTGTTGTAGGGCTGCATACTGAGGACGGTCAGTAATTAAACATTAAGGGGACCTTGATTCAAGCCTAAAGTACATATATATATATATATATATATATATATATATATATATATATATATATATATATATATATATATATATATATATATATATATATATATAATATATGCGAACAAGCCTGAATGGTCCCCAGGACATATGCAACTGAAAACTCACACCCCAGAAGTGACTCGAACCCATACTCCCAGAAGCAACGCAACTGGTATGTACAAGACGCCTTAATCCACTTGACCATCACGACCGGACATAATGAGGTGATAGCCGAGGCTATATGAACCACCCCACCGCCGGCACTCGGATAGTTATCTTGGGCATAGCATTTTACCAAATCACCTCATTCTTTGGGGCACACGTGAGGAACACAAATGCGAACAAGCCTGAATGGTCCCCAGGACCATTCAGCATTTTACCAAAATGCTATGCCCAAGATAACTATCCGAGTGCCGGCGGTGGGGTGGTTCATATAGCCTCGGCTATCACCTCATTATGTCCGGTCGTGATGGTCAAGTGGGTTAAGGCGTCTTGTACATACCAGTTGCGTTGCTTCTGGGAGTATGGGTTCGAGTCACTTCTGGGGTGTGAGTTTTCAGTTGCATATGTCCTGGGGACCATTCAGGCTTGTTCGCATTTGTGTTCCTCACGTGTGCCCCAAAGAATGAGGTGATTTGGTAAAATGCTATGCCCAAGATAACTATCCGAGTGCCGGCGGTGGGGTGGTTCATATAGCCTCGGCTATCACCTCATTATGTCCGGTCGTGATGGTCAAGTGGATTAAGGCGTCTTGTACATACCAGTTGCGTTGCTTCTGGGAGTATGGGTTCGAGTCACTTCTGGGGTGTGAGTTTTCAGTTGCATATGTCCTGGGGACCATTCAGGCTTGTTCGCATTTGTGTTCCTCACGTGTGCCCCAAAGAATGAGGTGATTTGGTAAAATGCTATGCCCAAGATAACTATCCGAGTGCCGGCGGTGGGGTGGTTCATATAGCCTCGGCTATCACCTCATTATGTCCGGTCGTGATGGTCAAGTGGATTAAGGCGTCTTGTACATACCAGTTGCGTTGCTTCTGGGAGTATGGGTTCGAGTCACTTCTGGGGTGTGAGTTTTCAGTTGCATATGTCCTGGGGACCATTCAGGCTTGTTCGCATTTGTGTTCCTCACGTGTGCCCCAAAGAATGAGGTGATTTGGTAAAATGCTATGCCCAAGATAACTATCCGAGTGCCGGCGGTGGGGTGGTTCATATAGCCTCGGCTATCACCTCATTATGTCCGGTCGTGATGGTCAAGTGGATTAAGGCGTCTTGTACATACCAGTTGCGTTGCTTCTGGGAGTATGGGTTCGAGTCACTTCTGGGGTGTGAGTTTTCAGTTATATATAATATATATATATATATATATATATATATATATATATATATATATATATATATATATATATATATATATATATATTTATTTATGATCGATGTTCCCTTCGGGAATCTTAATTTTAAGATGAATAGGAAAACCAGGGATATACTGAACATCTTGTTTCAGATTCTTTACTTTAAAATGCATAACGTTTCGAATACTTCTCGTATTCATCATCAGATCTAAAAGAAAAAACAGAAATCACAATCAAATAGCTGGTAAACAAAGAACTCATACTGAATATAATTGCCTATCAAAGAAAGAAAAATGCTTAAAAAAACAAAACACTTAAGCCCACTTAAAGTGATCAATACAAATAAAACTTATTAACTGTCACATATATTAAAGCTAACTTAAAAATCCATTAAACTACAAGATGAAATTTATAACTACTAAAACAAATCATTCTATTAAACTTACGTGAAGTGATCAGAAGTGAAACTTGATACTCAACACGTAGATACTAAACACTATAACAAATATTTATATAATGACTACAAATCTACAAAAAATGTATGTAAAATACAAACAGAATAAACGACAATTATAAAGTATTAACCAAAATCTTATAAAAAACTCAAATATTAAATAAAATTAAATACCAAAAAGTGTATTATATATCCTAAATAAAAGATTATATTAATGTACAATGTCACGACTTGATATAAGTAAGAAAGGGCAAAGACATGGTAAACTAAAC